GATTGAATGGCCATTTGTAAGATTAATACAATGTCTTGTATTAACCAGGACGAACTGAGCTCAAGTTGGCTCACATCGCCTCTAGTTACGCTGGCTCAGCATATACAGCTTATCGGGCGGCAGACATCGTGGAATTAGTAATTACTGGATATGAAGTCAGCATCTTGAAATAATAGCTTCCTGGTTACAAGATGGATGGTGAAGATGGATGGTGAAGATGGTAGTAGTGTTGCTTGGGTTGAGGGATGTGGATGGATCAGTGGTTGTTGGATGTGAATGGGGTGAGTGAGGGAGGGAGGGCGGTCTGTGGACCAGATAATCCAGTGATCAACAGCATGAGCATCGATCTACGCAGTTATACCTCACCACAGTTATAAAAGCTTAAGGTAGGAGTAGGTAGACTAACAGCTAGTCTCTAAAATTAACATATTTAAACAGAAAAAAAAAAGTTTTTGAATTCAAATAAAATACAATAAAAAAGGAGCCAGAGATGTTCTTCATTTTCGGATGAAACTCTGGAAATCAAGACTTGCCACACATTCTAGACTTGCATGGGCTACTTTGTGTATATTTGTTTCAGGGTCTGTATGGCAGACTGACTGAGTTTGGTTTTACGCCGCTTTTAGCAATATTCCAGCAACAACACAGCGGGGTACACCAGAAATGGGCTTCACACAATGTACCCATGTGGGGATTCGAACCCGGGTCTTCGGCGTGACGAGCCAACGCTTTAACCACTAGGCTACCCTACCGCCCCTGTATGGCAGACTAAGGAGTAGGGTTCAGTAGTATGTAGAAAGTGTAATGGAACTGGGATGGAACAGATTGGACAAACATCAATAACACTCGAAACGATACAAGCCTGAGAGTTTATCACCACAGATGCCTACAGTCTAAACGACTCCCCACAAACAACACAAACTGAGTCACAGACGCTGACACTGGCTACAGGTCAACAACTACAGACCGAACGGAATCAACAGACAAAGAACAAAAAGACTTTAACGAAAACAGTGTGTAATAAACGCACCAGACCTGCTATTAACATACTCAGTAATATACAGTTTATCTTCATGCCCAGTTGTCGTATTACTTAATAATAGAATTGATGGCCACAAAAATTACCTCATCACTTTATCAAAGACCTCTAAGAAGCTTATTGCACTGTGTCTAGTAATAATTCCATCCGGGACCAAAATGACCATTCCCTTGATTACAGAATTGTCCGTTTAATAACCAGCAACAGACGAGCGATAAATCTAAGATATTGACCTTCTCCGACCCTTGGTATTCCGTCTCTTTCTCACATAATATTCAGCCAGACATACGACCAATTCCGCGAACATATAGCCCCTGATCAAAGTATCGCATTTTTATATTGCAGCAAAAGTGGCAATGGGTAGCCATTTTCTGATCCAGTAATTAATGCGGTCAGACGGTGGCCTATCCGTGTCCGAGGATGGGGATTGTATGCTCCTGACCCTTGGTCAAGCCAGGCCGGTAGATTTATGACCGTGTTGCGTCTGACACTAGTTCTACAAGGAAAGGCTCAACTCGGTGGGTGTCTGAGAGTGCCACAAGCCCTTCAAGTGTGGTGTCCCTTGATAGAAGCCCCTTAAAAACAAAACTCACGCTGATTGATTTTGTAAATCGGATACTTTCAAGTCTGCTAAGTGACCGGGGAGCATGTTGACCAGACGACCGTGAGTCATTTGTAACTCTAAGGCCGCTCGGAGTTAATGAGTGAGTAAGTGAGTTTGGTTTTTATGCCTCTTTGAGCAGTGTTTCAGTTACATCAGTGATATCACGGTGCGTCAGCTTGATGTTGGAGGAGAGTGGAAGTGATGCGGGTCTCGGATGACAATGATGGGGTTGGGGCTGGCACGCCTAGAGGTGAGGTATGGTGGCTAGGGTGGGTTAGGGTGGGCTAGGGTGGTGAGGATGCAGCTTAATTTGGGTGGGTTTGAATGGAATATAGGATGATTTTGGACATGTGGAAAGGGTCACACAGTGGTTCAGGGTGGGGTTTTAGGACAACTTAGGTTGATACTGGCTGTCTGGGGTGGGGGTAGCATGGAGTGGCGTGCTGTCAGGGTAGAGAGTGTGGTATTAGGATAGTCGGGTGGGATATAATGGTAGTGGGATTGATATCAGGGTAGTGAATCAATATATAGGGGTAGTGGAGTGGGATAGCAGGATTGTTGGATTGGGTATCAGGGAAATGGGATGGAATATCAGGTAGTGGGGTGGAGTATCAGGGCAGTGGGTTGGGATATCTGGTAGTGGGGGTGGAAATCAGGCAGTGAGATGGGATATCAGTGGGGTGAGATATCAGGTAGTGGGGTGGGATATCAGGTAGTGAGGTGCGATATCAGGTAGTGGGGTGGGATATCAGGTAGTTGGGTGGGATATCAGGTAGTGAGGTGGGATATCAGGTAGTGGGGTGGAATATCAGGTAGTGGGGTGGAATATCAGGTAGTGGGGTGAGATATCAGGTAGTGAGGTGGAATATCAGGTAGTGGGGTGAGATATCAGGTAGTGGGGTGGGATATCAGGTAGTGGGGTGAGATATTAGGCAGTGGGGTGGAATATCAGGTAGTGGGGTGAGATATCAGGCAGTGGGGTGAAATATCAGGTAGTGGGTGAGATATCAGGTAGTGAGGTGGAATATCAGGTAGTGGGGTTAGATATCAGGTAGTGGGGTGGGATATCAGGTAGATGGATATCAGGGTATCAGATATCAAGGTAGTAGGTAGGGTTGGATACTTAGGTAGTGAGGTGGGAGATCAGGGTAGTAGGGTGGATATCAGGGAGGCTGGGATAGTGTTGGAATGATATAATAGAGGTGGTTAAGTGGCATGTGTGAGATAAAACGGAAGTGGGGGTAGGATATCAGGGTACCTGTGATAGGCTACATGTATGGTTAAAGGGTGACTATTGCAATAGTAATTTCTCTCCATGAATTGTCTCATTTGAAGTCATTTCCCAAATAAATGTATAGTTTATATGGAACATAAACAAGCTCAAGTATAGTTTCAGTCTCTTTTAATAACTGACAAGAAACTTGAAACTCAGATTAAGTTTGTTTGAGAGGTAACAGGGGCAGATAACTCTAAATCAAAGTGAATGAATATGGTATTTCCTGTATTTTGCGCTGTGCATTTATCATCAGAAGTCAATTACTAAACTATCGATAATCAGACATACTATCGATGCATCTATAGTTTTTCTATTCATCCATCGATTAATTGCTATCGGAGACCTAACAATTGCAATTCATCGATAGTTCGATGCATTGTTACAGCCGTAACAAATACAGATGCAGTATACTGTCTGGGGATGAACATCAAAGGTCGTGAGGTCCACTCAACTAATGACGGGGAGGACTGAGTACACGACCAAGTTGACTCAGTTCACAAAGACATTAAAGAGCACTGCTCATGTCGATCAATCACAGAAGAAAAAGCAATAAGTTAAATCATCAATATCGCCAAATATTCTCGTAAATTCAATTACACAACATTAACGTCCCACCATGTGACTCAAAATCACACCGCTCACCACAACAAAGTTCGCCACTCCGAACAGGTTTAGCCAGTCCATCAAGAAGCAGCAACGACTTGAGCAGACGGGAAGTATGACATGATGACTACACGCTACAGCAGCGAAGCACACCTAATCAGCAGGGACGCTATCAGACTGTACACAAAACCCAGTGAAAGTTGACATATACATTGTCCATAACCATCCAGACAGATATCGACATTCGACTACAGTCGTACAGGGAGTTCTCAGATTCAAGGAGGTTTACTACAGCAGGGACGATCATCAAATTAGTAAGAAAATTTAACCCGAAATGATATTGGCAAATCATGCTTTCCATTTTCAAACATGACCTTCTGTACTCAGTGGTGTAAGTATCCATACTGGAGGGATAGTGGCAGACGCCAATTGATGGCAGATGTCAGACAAGTGCAGACAGACAATATACTCACAGCAAGATATTACATCTTAGTACCCCGTGGCTAAAAGCTAATTGTTCCAGCTATTGAAATTCAGGCTAGTCTAATAGCAGAAATAACTAACACTGACTGACTGACTGAGTTTAGATTTACGCCTCTTTTAGCAATATTCCAGCAATATCACGGCGGGGAACACCAGAAATGGGCTTAACACATTGTGCCCATGTGGGGAATCGAACCCGGGTCTTCGGCGTGACGAGTCAACGCTTTAACCACTAGGCTACCCCACCGCCCCTGAAATAACCAACTAACATGAGCTGATGACAGGTAATACTCCTAAACTTGTATATTTTAAGGCTTTCATTCTGCAAATTCTGCTGTGTGGAGTAAAAACCAAATGACATTCCTCGCACTATTTGCTAGGATTCTCAATACTTTTATTCTGCTACAAATGGGAACTGAATAAAACTGAAAATGTTAATAAAGAATTTATTTTGTGTGTAAGCAGGACAAGCTACAAACTGTGGAGTGTGAAATGAACAATTTTGTAGTTTTCGACCCACATCTAGCAATTTGACATATGCAACTAGAACAGGTTCTCAATTTTGCAACAATCTGGGACTAAACAAATTGTCAGAAAATGTATGTAACACATCATTTTCGTCATGTGTTGAGTAGGACGAGCCCAAACTCTGAGGATATTTAACCATTTACCTCAACCACTCCTGAGACATGAGTGAGTATTCATTTACGCCGCTTTCAACAACAATCCAACAATATCACGGAACTAGACACCAGGGTGAGTGAGTGAGTTGGGTCTTACGCCGCTTTTAGCAATGTTCCAGCAATATCATGGCGGGGGACACCAGAAATGGGCTTCACACATTGTACCCATGCAGGCAATCGAACCTGGGTCTTCGGCATGATGAGCGAACGCTTTAACCACAAGGCTACCCCATAGTTCCTTGTCCGACATGAGTTCCGGACAGATTGGATTTGAGTAACGCCGTCTACTCGACAAAAACAGCATGTACTCACCAAGACACTGTTCATCCATTACAGCTAAACAAACTCCATGTCCTATATTCTGAAAACAAAAGAGAAAGGTATTGGTAAAGGGCAGTCTGTGTAAAAAGTTAAAAAAACTTTTGAGTACAAGCCGAAGTCTCTTAGCATCATTTCCAGCAGATTTTAGTCATATGAACTATCAACTTGGTACTGAACAGAGTGGATTTTACTGGATTTGATCTTTACAGTATTGGTGAGTGAGTGAGTGAGTGAGTGTGAGTGAGTGAGTGAGTGAGTGAGTGAGTGAGTGAGTGAGTGAGTGAGTGAGCGAGCGAGCGAGCGAGCAAGAGTGAATTAATTTAGTTTTACGCCATTTTTAGCAATATTCCAGCAATATCATGGCGGGGGACACCAGAAATGGTCTTCATACATTGTACCCATGTAGGGAATTGAACCTGGGTCTTCGGCGTGACGAGCAAATGCTCTAACCACCAGGCTACCTCACAGCTCCGAGAATATTCTCAGACTTCAATAAAGGATAACTGTTAAGAAGTGGCCCAAATAAGGATCTTAGCATCATTTTCAGTAGATCATTTGATACTTGTTTGTTTGTTATTTAACACCACACTCAGCAATATTCCAGCTATATGGCGGCGGTCTGTAAATAGTCTGGACCAGACAATCCAGTGATCAACAGCATGTGCAGCTATCTATGCAATCAATCTTCAGACAAGTAGCTGAAGTTTAAGACTGACTGAGTATGGTTTTACGCCGTTTTTAGCAATATTCCAGCAATATCACGGCGGGGGACACCAGAAATGGGCTTCACAAATTGTACCCATGTGGAGAATCGAACCCGGGCCTTCGGCGTGACGAACCAACGCTTTAACCACTAGGCTACCCCACCGCCCCCTGAAGTTTAAGAGAGTTTAACAAGTTCCTGGAGCATGAAGGCACACAAAAACATTACACTTATTAAATTTAAGTTACAAATATACTTATGCACAAACACATGAAAAATGACTGACTGAGTTTGGTTTTATGCCAGTTTTAGCAATATTCCAGCTACATCACGGCGGGGGAACACCAGAAATGGGCTTTACACATTGTACCCATGTGGGGATTCGAACCCGGGTCTTCGGCGTAACGAGCAAACGCTTTAACCACTAGGCTACCCCACGAAAATGATGAACATTGGAAGATGTTATAGGCACAGTATGATTCATCAAACATATTAGAGGTTAGAGGCATTACAAAGGGCAGGAAAGAAAACCCCTGACTGAGAAGTGGAACCAAATGTTTACGCCCACATTCATCAAGAGCTTTTGAAAAATAATTCAAATTTGTGTATGACTAAGCCTAATTCTTAAACACATCAACGATAATTGAACACAGTACCTGTAAGCTTGACATATCATATACATCATTAATCTCTATGTCATGCGTAATTTGTCACGCTTTCTTGGGTTTGACGTCAACTGAGCTTATGCTCCTGTTATTTTTTACAACAATGCACTAATTTATGAAAAATCATGATAGTTATAACAATTTTACTTATTTGGACTAGCTTATGGATGAAATAATGATGTTTTGTACAGAATGCAACTGCTTGCATGTGGTGCAACTGTTTATTCACGTCAATGAGCACCTGTTTTCATGATGATAAATTTTGTGACCTGGTACTATCTGGTTTTATCTGGTACAACTGGTTTTCATGTCAATGGACAACTGGTTTCCATTAAGATAATATTTTCGTGACCTGGTGCAATCTGTTTTCATCTTGTACAACTGGTTTTCATGTCAATGAGCACCTGTTTACATTTTTGTGCTCGGGTACAACCTGGTTGTGTCTGGTGCAACTATTTTTCATGTTGATGAGCACCTGTTTTCATAACGATAAATACATGGACTTGGGTGCAACCTGATTGTGTGTGGTGCAACTGTTTTTCAAGTCAACATGCTCATGGTGTAAGTTAAACCAAGTCTCTTAAATCAAGCTGTGAAAGGTATTATCAATCATAATAAAAAGCAGTCAGAAACTTAAAAACAACATCTTACTAATAAACCTTTATGAAATAAAACTCAGTGATTTTAATGGACGTAAAAAAGTTTTCTTGAAGCTGTAACGTATCAAGAAACAGCATCATCTACTCTGATCAATCTTTCCCCTTTGCATTACAGACATCAGATGTCCCTTCCCTTTATATGCAATTGAAATAAAATCATAACAAATTCCTACTAGATCTAGATCTTATTATACATCAAATACACCTGTGAAGGTCCAGGTTAGAATATTGATCTTCAGTAACCCATGCTTGTCGTAAGATGGGGTGGTCAGGCTCGCTGACTTGGTTGACACATGTCATTGGTTCCCAATTGCGCAGATTGATGCTCATGCTGTTGATCACTGGATTGTCTGGTCCAGACTCGATTATTTACAGACCGCCGCCATATAGCTGGAATATTGTTGAGTGTGGAGTAAAACTCAACTCACTCACTCACTATATGTCAAATACAGGGCTTTTGGTAAGGGCTACAGAACCGGTGCCGATTTCCATCAGCTCCAAACTCTTGCACACTTGAATATGACAAAATGACATTTTCACCAACTTAAACAACTCCATTACATTACAGTATTGAAACCTACTGATCTGTTCCAAGATGACAGCCCTCACAAGGACAATGTTTCATAAAAACACTTTGCCTTTTAAATACGACCCGTAGAACCAGACAGCAAATGAAACATTCATAGACCATATCACATAATACATACAAGAAAGACTATTAAACAGTTTATCTCTCCCTGTAGTGCAATAGCTTCAGATGCAGCTGGCTGTGGCATCCTCATCTCGCTCGTATACTCGCTGTTATCTGTTCAGCGTGAGGAAAGCTCTCACAAGCATAATCCAACAATCAGCAAACCCACCGAAAACCCAATCTCAGTCTTTGTACTTATTCTCTCTTTTTTTCCGGTCCGACAAAATCTCGGACTTCAGGATCCAGCATGTGGGCAATAACCATTCTGTTCGGGAAGACAGCCACAGAGGCGACAATCTGTATTGGCTTAATGGTGTTTTGTTTCATTTAAGATTTCACAGCTCTTTTCAAGCAGACCACAGACCATGATAGGGCCATTAATCTATTGCCAGCTTGACCAGGCGAGCAGTTTATGGTCTCCAACCTTTTAGCCCAGCCCCAATCGTCTCAAGGAGCCAGCCGTGGTCAATGAGACGATGCATCTGCGTCCAGATAGTATGATGGTCAGCGTCTATGGTCTAGATGATCTCTGTTGTCCAGATTGCCAGACATCTTTCACTGCCCAAACAGTTTATACCAACAGCGAGAACAGTTCTCTTTAATTTACTGTGTTCAAACATGATTGTCTCCCTTGCCTGGCCCTGCGCTCTCGCTAAATCGCTTTAGCTGGTGTCTGGTCGAGCTCAAAATTACTTCATAACTGGCTTCTTGTCGCGAGACGAGCGACTTCCTGTCAATTAAGGCAGTCCGCAAACGACCACGACGTCCGCCATTGCTACAATAAATGTAGACAGACTTGGAATCTAACTTAAAGTTTCAAAGTGCACAGCCAAGTACAAGATACTACACAGGCACTCTCTTCCAGACGGCTATTGTACGACGCGAGTCAATAGGGACCAACTGCATTACCTCAGACCCGGAGACTTACAACTTCAATAAATCTGGAGATTGAAGATTTAATGTCCACGTGAAAGAAAATCACCATCGCCATGGAAGTAGGGACGCTCAAGATGGACTTGAAACATGTATTTTTATGTTCGTGTTTTTGCAATTTCCATTACTGTATTAAAACCATTCATTCACAGCAAGAGGGCAACAATTTGGTATCAAAGATTTAATACCGGAACATCCGAAGATAATCCTCTTTTCATGGGAACGTGAAAGTTATTTTATAACACCAAAGTAGCTACGTGTAATTTTAAAATAGAAAACTCATAATCTGTGTTGAATAATATGTTGAATATTATAAGGAGAACCGCGAAATGCTTTTGTAAATTATATTAACGTCAGCAAGCGGCGTCTTGTTCTAGAATGGTCAGGACAGGTCAAGTGAGGTTTAACGAAGCTTAACAGGGCATCCAGGATTATTCCACTTGCGTATTGAACTGCATAAACGTGTGTGCCTGCTTGTTCTAGTCTAGCAGCTAGGCCGTTTTTTAAGTGCAAGAATTCTCAAATGTCATGCCTCTGTTTAATGTTTTCTGGGTTTGTTTGTTTGTAAATACTGGATTATTTCAGGTTTACAATGGCAATAAAGGAACAATGTCATTTATGTAACAAACATTATATTTGGGATTACACTTTCTCAGTAAATTTCAGATTGAAGTAATTTTTGGTTTGAGTCCCATCTGTTGATGGTGACTGAAGTAAGGTCACTCATCAACAAAAGCAATCTCGGCCCTACCCAACAAAGTGATCTTAGCTCTAATGTGATAGTACGTATCGCCAATCCTTACAAAAAAGACTTATGGCAGCACTAACGCCACTATCGCTGTGTGTAACGGGACTCTGCATTGCCATTGCATTATTCAGAATAACTTTTTGCTTGTGAACTACCATTTGATTATCCAGACAGAAAAAAATTGTTTTGTACGCGCACACCTACCCACACCAAAAAACACTCCCACAAAACCAAAAAACCCCAGCAACAACAAAAAACAACACCCCCCCACACACACCCACCCCGTAACATGTATGACAGTATAAATACTTAAGTTTGGACCAGATGATCCAGTGATTGACATCATGAGCATCGATCTACACGGTAGGAATACGATAACATGCATCAGCCAACCTCGGGAACATAACCAGCCGATCCCGTTAGTCACCTCTTGCAACAAGTGCGGGTTGGTGAAGAACAATTCTAACCTTGAATCTTCAAGGGACTCATTAGTTTAAGGCTGACATCCCATTCAGTGAGTGAGTTTGATTTTACGCCACTTTTAGCAATATTCCAGCATACCTGGTGGACTAACACCAGAAATAGGCTTCACACATTGTACCCATGGGGAATCGACCCCGGGTCTTCGGTGTGACAAGCAA